ACCTACACTGCACTAACATGATGTGTAGAAAGTATAAAGCAAAGTATTTGGGATATATGAGATGAACAGATTAGACCTAAAATCCCAGACTGTGATGAAATACATTCACCCCTCAAAACTTCTAATTCTCCCTGAATACAAAAAATGTCAGTATGGAAATTAGAAAATTTGGAAACCTACAATTTGTTTCTGCTTCAGAGGCTTGACGGAGAAACTGCCATCAACGTGCTGGAGATGAAACAACAACAAAAAACATATTTAAACTCATGTAAAAATGTTTTTATACAAATAAATGGTTTAAATTCATGTGGATGCATACTTACTCTTTCAAAAGCTGCCAAAAGCACATGAGCATGTCCAAGGCAATCTTTCAAAAAAACAGCACAATTAATATTAGTTTTTTTATTTAACTGAACTGCTGTTTAATGTTACATTTGCCTGTTTTGATAAATGTTATGCAGCCTCAGTAACGTACCATCTCCTTCATCAACCACAGCCTGGATAACGATGGGAAACACTCCTCGATCAAGGTCAAAGTTCAGCTTAAAAGGAAGCGTGTTACATAATTTCAATTAGTGCGATTATGACAGATGACAATTATGGTCCCTTCAGATTCTCTGTCAAAACATCAAGTGAAACATCATTTGCATTTTCAGTGTAGGCAGAAGATACATACTGACACAAACCAGCAACAGACATACTGCAGCAGATACTCACATCTTCCTCTTTCCACTCGCAGAAATCGATTTTGAAAGATGGCATGGAGAACTGTTGGCTCACCCCTCGCTTGTAATGCACAGTTTCAGACACCATTGATGGATCCTTTGGGCTGTACCTATATTCAGAATATTGCAGAGAATATGGTCAGAGATGAAACCTTAAACAGTGCACTATAGAAAACGCAGACAATTAGACATCCATCAGCGTGGCAAGCCTAATAACAGTTGTCACATTCAAGTGATCAATACATTTGTAGTGTAGAAGTCTCTCATGACACAATCCGTTAAGAAATCTGAAAACATAATACAACAGTAGCACAATTATTCATCATTTGGTCTCATCATTGAACAATAACTTCAGTGCAGATTATTACTTTCATCTTCTTCTAAGTCTTATCTGTGGTATCCATGGCGACCGGTGGTTGCTAAGGACCTGCCATATCTATTCTAGTCTTTATGCTCTGAGGCTTAAATCTCACTACCCATAAAAAAGAGTTCAAGTGTAAAATGAAGCTGTGGTGTCACTTGAAAGCTGAACAACTATTCATCTCATAGACAGATACAGATGCACTATTGTTGTGTCATCATTAACAGATTTAATAAAAGACCAAATACTATTCATTGTGCGTATTTTTTAGGTGGCTGTTTATCCATTGTGCTACAAATGCTTTAAGTTATTTAGTCACATAAAGAAATCATTGGAATTCTTACACTGCCATCCCATTAGAGAACTCTTCAAAGGCCTGACAGTAGAGGGTGATGGCCACCCGAGCATCAGCATCAAAGGTGAACTCCACACCATACTGAACCTTTGGTTTTCCACCTTCCTCCACCGGTGTGTCAGAGTCATCTTTATATCTGCAATCAAAAGGTTTGACAGAAAACTCTTGACTTGGATATTGTTCTTTAGTCTTACTGTGTTGTATCATAATATTGCGTCAGTATATTTACCTGACCAAACGCAGAGAGTCCTTCCTAATGTTCACCAGGCTCCTCAGGGTTTTCACAGGCTCGTGGGGTGCAGGCGTCACATATGGAAACTAGTGATATAAGGACAGCAAGATTACTTGTGATAAGTGATTGGAAGTTAGAAACAGTATTCAATTAATCACATTACTAACAATACATGTAGAACTACAGTAGAGTAGATATACAGCTGTGGAAAATATAAAGCACTGAATAGAAGAGTAAGATGATTAAAACAACAGGATTGAAGACAGAAGAGTTTTCACCTGCACTGGCCTATTTCCAAGAAAATTCAGGTCCATGTTTTCTCCAAATAGGTATCCCTCTGGATGTGGTGTGTCAAACTTCTCTCCTCCCATGAAGAAGTGGCTCGCAAAATAATTCCCTGCGGACAAGGGAAACATTTTGAATAATAAAGGCAGTACAAGCATTGAACTACTCATTTTGAACATTAGTGTCAGTGTAAACAATAAATCTGTTTATATGCAGTCACATAAAATTGTTCGGGTGTAAAATGTTAAGTGAAGTTTATTTTATGATTGATGTGATTGCCAGAGGAAAAATGGTAACAAATGCTACTTGATTGACTAAATGGGATCAGTACATAAAACTGAGGTACATTTGGCAGTCACACAACCCCATGCTGCTGCTTTTCATCACCCAGCACCCAAAAACTACCTCTGACTATAACATAAATATTACTTGAAGTACGAACATAAATATTTAAATGTATATATATCTAAACAGAAAAGAAAGAGTAGTAATTTTACATCAAGAAGGACTGAACCTCCAGTAACTACAGAAAAAAACATATCAGTCCTCATAGTGTCAATGTCTTTTATTGGTTTTAAACTGAGTCAAACTTCTTGATCTCACGTGGACAAACCTCTTTATTCTGTCGGAAAGAATAACAAAAAGAAAGCGTAGTTAAAACTGAATTATTATAAATATTGTTGTTATAGTAAATTGACGGGGAAATGCATCTAAAGCCGAAAACGTGTGTGACGTCTACGTTTGTCATCATTTGCTGTCCCTCTGCTCCTGTGGCATCATAAACACACAATCCAAGTCTGTACGTTCAGTCTTGCTGATCACACAATGCTTCATGTGATTTGACCACCATGTTGTGGTGACCCAGTAATAAACAAACTTGTGTCAGTCCAGCAGCGCTCGACACATACAACTACTGCCAGTGTAACATGTCCCGAAGAACATGTGACCTCTCTGCAGGGACAACAGGCACATTTATGAGGTTTCAAATCATTATCCAACTATCGAGCAGACGATAGTAAAGTAATAAAACCTGACTGCTTGCTGATACGCTTGGATGTCTCGATAAAGACTGTAGCTTGAGGAAATCAATGTTTACGTGGAAGCGGAATTCAGGCGAGAGACACAATCGATCACTCACCAGATTTGGGTGGAAATCGATAGGCCGAGTTGGCCTGGATATCGATATCCTCAACCCCAGCGATTCTGCGACTCAGGATGGACCCCATCTTCCCCTGCTGGATCGCCGATGTTAGCTACGGTTAGCTAGCAGCCTAGGCAGCTAGCGGCGCGACAGCAGCTGTAATTAGCTCGGCCTTCCGGACAAAGTGACGCCGAAAACAACGATAACATCGACGAAAAATCAACGCTAGCGTTAATTTAACATCGTACGCGTGAAGCTAATCGCTGGCTATGCTGCGAATGCTAACAGGAAACACACAGCGACGGGGGGACGGGCTGTTGTTGTGGCCGAGATATGCTAACGTAGCAGGGAGGTAACGTGATTGGCTGTGCGTGTGGTGACGCGGAACTGGAAGGGCCGCCTCTGATTTGTTTATTCCTATATTCGTCATTAATCAGAACCAATCATCGCCCTTTATGTGTGAACTCGATCCAATCAGAGGCAAGGTAGGGGAAGGTCTTCTTTTACCTGGGGTGAAAAAATGATAACAAAGTGGACACATATATATATTTAATATATCAAATATCACAAAGCAATATATCAATATAATACTCCCGAAATAAAAGACCCAAATAAATATAAACAACATCAATCATCTGTAAACAATGATTTGACCATAGTGCTCTATTTTGGAGTCTGTTACTGAGTTAGACATATTTAAGGCTAACTGTGAGTAACAAGTTCAAAATAATAAATACCAGGATGAATCTCTGTATCATAGGTACAGTACTGCCTAACTGTAGTTTTCTGTTTGACTAGTTTTACCTATTTGACCTCATCCAGTTCTTCACTTTAATCACTCACTACCAACACTGATGTTACTGTTTCTACGTAACATTATTCAATGATCACACATAATTATTTTGAACTCATCATCGCCATGTGTAAACTATTGCCGCACTTCCTCACTGTCACCACTGGGGGGCAGTGGACATTAGTGGATTTATGTCTCCCGTTCTACTAAAAGACTGATCTCCATGGCAACCATCATTAAAAACTTTGACATAATTAAAATATTAATAATGATAATAATCAGTTACCTTATGAAGACTGTCGGTTAATATCTATAGTGAATAATGACAGTGAAATGTGTTACTTACATATCCCTGTATTTTTATAAATGTTATTTCTCTTTCATTATGTTGTTTATTTTTATTTATGATTTGAACTAATTTCTAACTCTTTTAACTATCTGCTGCTGTGACAAACTCTTACAATTACCATTAAATAATCACTGATAATACCTTATAAACACTGACTGTTAATATCAATGGTGAACAGCAACATTTGTAAGTTGTGTACATATCTCTGTATTTTTATGAATTCATTTTTATTTCTGATTTTTTATTTATCACTGAGTCACTAACACTAAGGAGAACCTGAGGTAGGCTTCAGTTATCATAAAAACTTATAAGGTGTTTCATTTGGTCCAGTCTGGGCTACTGTAGGAAACATGGTGGCCTTCGAAGAGAGACAGCACTCCTGATGTAGTTATTTAAATATAAAGGGGCCATTCCAGGGTACAGAAAACAACAATTTAGATAATTACACACTAGTGAAAGCATCCCTGGGATTACTTTATATTCAGTATTCTATTCTGCTCATAGATCCCGTTCATCTTAATCTTACACACTGATCTTTAACCATCTGCGGCTGTAACAAGTGAATTTCTCTGTCGTGGGATCAGTAAAGTTTATATTATTTTAACAGTGAGGGTTGCAGTTCTGCACTCTGACCACTGGAGGCCACACTCATGGTTTTCAAGATGTAAACACACCACGATCAAATGTAATAATGCATCAAGATCTAGCAGATAGAAATAAAGAATAGTTGAGCTCTCGATTTAATGGCGATGCTGGTGTTAGTTATTGTTTCTTGCTCGGCTGCTGACGCTTCTATCTGAGGCAGCCGCCGCCGCTCAGTCGTGACGTGAGGAGTTAATCCAGCTCAGCGGATGTTGGCGCTGCTAACGTCAAACAAACTTCAGTAGCACCGCGGGCAGGCTGCGCTTCTTCCAGCTCCAGGTAATGTTGCTCTCACCCCCGTGTCAGCGGCGTCGTTACAGTCGCTACGAGAACCAGCGTTTCACGAGGTCACGGACGCATTTAAAGTCCGTCGATGTACACGATTCGCGGCTTCATATTTAGTCTGTTGTGGTCCGTGCCTTGTTTGGCGTCGCTAGCTAGCTAGCTGGCTGGCTAACGGCCGCTGGCAAACACGCTTTGCACTCAGCTGGTGAAACACACCCTTTACCAGCTGAGTGCAAACACACACTGGCTAACAACTGCTAAACGACCGTCTGATCGCAGCTAGCTGAGAGCATTGACCGCCCACCTGACACTGACCAGCAGCGATGTTAACATCTCTGCGTTATCACTGCGTCAATTAACGCTGCTAATAATAATAATAATAATAATAACAATAATAATAATGTCATAGTTGGTGTAGATGCGTGTCCCAGTTAAAATCAACACACATGCTTTCGTCCGTTTCCATCAATTACGCAACCAAGTTACCCACGGTTGGTTGTGCAAGTAGCTCTGAGCTGGATTATCTGGGGCAGGATTTATAGAAAACACCAGCTAGCGTTAGCGAGCTAACCGCTGGTTAGCCGAGGAGCGTTAGCATCAAATACCTTCCTGGTTTGTTTGTGTATCCTTTTCAATCAGGCACCTTCAGTCATGCGACGTTTCTCCGGGCAGCTCTGATGAGACCGAGGGAAAAGCAACTAGTGTAGTTTGAGATGCTCCTGCAGCTGTGATGGACCTTAACCATACTTATTTATGATGTGCATTTCATTTTCATTACAGGTTGCAATACTCCAGGCTGGCATTTTTCTTTTCTCGACAGCAAAGGGTAAACATTTGTTTTCTTGTCAATCAATTATTTCTGAATGCACATACAGCTGCACATGATAGTATCCATCAGGGGTCATTGGACTTAAAAACACCAGGTTATGTTGTTGGGCATTAACCTCACGACAGAAAGACAGCAACACTTATGTGTCTCTCAAGTGTTGTATTTGATTCCAGGCTGTTGTAGGTTGGACACAGTTGTGTTATTAAATCTTTTGTTATTGAACCTTTGTTTGCGTGTGTGTTGAGTCACTCAAGGTGCAACATGTCACATAAACTGGCAGTGAAGGAGCCTTAAACGGTTTCCTGTTGGTCACAATTGTTTTCACAATAATCTTTTCCGTGCAGTGTGACAGAATGTTACACCCTGTTCTAAATAATAGTGCCCCCAATCCCCCACTCCCCTTTTTCCATTCTCTTTTAGATATTTGTTAAGCATTCAGCAAAGGGCTGCATTATTTAGTAAAAGAGAAAACCACACTTCCTGTTGAAACTCAAAGCTACAAAACAGAACAGAGGAGCTTCCACTTGTGTTGTTGTGGTTTTAATGTCTCTTTTTTTTAATTTCAGGCCTCCAGTCTAGATTAATTTCAATCATTAAAAGGATTTGGTAATGCCTTCATTATGGTGCTGATAATAACCAGGGGGCTCCCATCAACAAAATTAGTTTTGCACCAAATCTGTTTGTTTGATTTTACAAATGTAAATGAGTTCACAGCACTATATTATTTATGACTTTCCTTAATAACTGTTCATTTTTGACCTTTATACAAACTGTTTAATCCTGTAATTGAACATTAAATCACAAAACAGCCCAAAACTCCTCTACAGTTTCCTGTGAAGGCTGACATCAACAGTTACACCAACTACCTCATTAGCCTCTGTGACTGTTGCTGGAACAATGCATGGCTTGGGAGAAGCTTGTGTCAGAGACTAATGAGCCATGGGACTGAAACTGGGCTTTTTTTTTTTTTTATTCAGAGTGAAAGTCCAGTGGAGCGTTGTGAGAGGAGCTCCGTGTCCATCCCCTCTCCCTGTCCAGACATCCAGCCAGTATGTCCAGCGATCCTCCTCCTCCGTACCCCGGAGGTCCCAGTGCCCCACTTATGGAGGAGAAGAATGGACAACCTGGTAATAAAAATAAAAAAGCAGAATTGTGAGAATGCAGAGATACAATATTTGTGTTGATTAAATGAAATGCATGTTGCTCATAACACATGCCTCTCAACACAATTTAATCATTGTGGATTAAGTAAACGGTCACCATGGAGACTTCAGAGTAGTCCCTGTGTCGGTTACAAAGTGCACTTCTGTTTAATCGCAAAACTCTCACGAAGAAGAAAGGTGTTCTGAACACACTGCGATATGTAGGCACCAGCAGGTTTAAACTGACTACTAGTTGGAGTTTGGTGTCATGTTTGAAACTGAGGCTGAAATTTTAGCCCAAGTGTCAGACACACAGAGCAGCAGGGATGTTTGTGCAGTGCGGCTAGTTAAATTTTTATAACACAGGTATCATAGCAGGTTGAATGAACCTAAACCACATAATCAATTAATACTAATTGTGATGTATTATACCTGTAATATATGTTACTGACTTTTTTCCATGTTTTCTTTCTTATTTACAGTAAGAACTGCTCCTCCACAGGGACAGCCCTTGCCTCCAGATTATGGTCCTCCACCCTACGAGGCCTCACAGCTTGGCTACCTTCCCCCACATGTTCCAGGAGAAGGGCCCATGCCAATGCCAATACCGATGCCGATGCCACCACAAGGTGCTGCTGCAGACAGTGTGCATATTTAAAAAATACATATAACAACTAAATAAGCTGCAGAAAATGCTGTCATTGTTCAGTTGTCAAGGTTCATGTGTTTGCTAAAGTCTGGCAACCTGATGAATGTAAGTCTCATGATAAAACATTTGCCTTGTGCTTGGTCCTTTGAATTTGTGTACATGTAAAGCATCCCTGGGTCTCTTGAAAGGCGCTATATTAATTCAAGCTGTTATTATTATTATTATTACTATGCTTAAATTCATATGTATGTTTTCCATTTATTCTGACAGGTGGTCCCTACCCGCCACCCCCTGGTCATTTTGCTCACCCGATGCCAGGACATATGGGCCCCGGCCCCAGTCAATTTGTCCACCAGATGGGGGGCCACACAGCGACTGTCCTGGCTCCTCCGGGGGCAGCCACCACCGTGACTGTGCTGCAGGGGGAAATGTTCCAGACTTCACCAGTGCAGACCGTGTGTCCGCACTGTCAGCAGGCAATCATCACCCGCATCTCCCACGATGTCGGCCTCATGAACACACTCTTCTGCCTCTTCTGCTTCTTCGTAGGGTAAGTAGGTCACAGAAAAGACATTCCCTACCATTAACACAGCAGTTCATTCAACTTAGCCAGCACACAGTAGTTTTCTATAATACTTAAAAAATGTCTCCGGAGTTCGCCTTTCATATATGAACAACACAGCAGGAGATTCTCTGGTCAGACGCATTCACAACACACAAATTGTAATGATTCCTATTCCGCTACAGAGATCACATGTTTTTGTTTACATCTTATCAACACTGACGTCGTCTTATTACCAAAAACTCTCGACATCTTCGTCAGTGTCTTCTATGTGTATGGCACCACTTTTTCATTCCTTAGATAACGCACCCTCTGTGAATCCCCTGGAGAATCTGCTCAGACCTTATCCTCAGTTTTACTATAGGGCTGGCTGGAGAAAGTCCGGAGCCTTTCACTCTGTTCTCACAAACAACCTCTCTGGAAAATATCTGGAGTTTGGTGCATGTCTGAAAAGCAGGTAAAGTCACTGAACAATATTTTTTTCTATCATTTTCAGGTGTGATCTCGGCTGCTGCTTGATTCCCTGTCTGATTGACGACCTCAAGGATGTGACACACACCTGCCCTTACTGTAAGGGCTACATTTACACATACAAGCGTATATGCTAACCACCGACGGCTCCACAGAGACATGTACATGCACACACATAAAACTCACAGCTCCTCCTGCTGGTAGTGACAGCCCCCCCATCCTTCTCCATTTTTGCAAAGTGTTGTGTAAGCCCTCTTAAATTGTAAGTGTAGTTTTCTCATAAGTTCACTATATTTACTGTATATAATCTTTCAGCATATTTTTTTCCCCCCATGTATAAAGATGCATTTTAATTGTACAAATCTCCCACAGAGCTTCACAGGATTGTAGGGCACTAAAACATTCACATAGCAGGCAAGCAGTTGCATCTGATCCTGTATGAATAGGGAGAAGACTTGTGATGGTACAAATGTAAATGAATAGAGATAAATCAGTAGGTTGACTGCCTCAGTTACAGAAAACTTTGAAAATGGTCAGTTTATTTATTTTAATTCATCTGTGAAGTTTGGTCAGAAGCAAGCGTGGTGAAGTCAAACCTGCTGGTTAAACATTCTTTCTTTCTTTTAATTTATTTCAGATATTTTTTCTGCTATTTTAGCAAATTAATCTTAACAACTGTGAACATTTTTGTCCATTTCGTCTGAGATTGTTCTTTTAACAGAGCTAGTTTTTCCTTTTTGTCGTGAATGTGAGCAAATTAACCAGCCATTTTTATCTCGAGTGGATGTGGACTGGTGACAGATTTAATGACAAATAACCAACATACACAAGTGTCTCAGTGAGACGTTTGGCCCCCTTGTACCACCAGCTTCATGAATCTACCGGAGGGATTGAACACCATTCCTCTGAAAGATCGTCCCTCATTTGGTGTTTTGATGAATGTGAGGGACATGTCCAAAATGTCTTTCATGGGTGTTTTGTCCTAATCTAACCATCCAGTGACCCCTCAAACCTTATTGAGGCATTTTTATTCTCAGTGTTCTGGTTTTTCCCTTTAATTTGTCACCTAGCTATATTTGCTTGTTTCAGCCAAGATTGATTTTATTTGCTATATTTATTAATCTGGGCTTCAGTGAGCAGTCACACAATGTCAAGTGATGTATGGTTGAACTATTACACATGAACGCCCTCTGTTCATTTTTGAGAATAAAGCTAACATTTGCACTTTAAGTTGAGATTTGCATTTTCCCCTTTGACAGATTCTTTAATTATGAACTTCTGCAAATCCTTACAGGAAAGAAATGTGATTATCATGTCATCGCACCAGTATGAGCAGTGTAGAATTTTGGCTTTCACTGGGTTAGTTATTTGCTCAGTGAACTCCACTGAAAATGCACTTATTCAGGCTAAAGTAGAATTAAAATAGAGATGCAGACGGAGGATTGTACTGTTAGGAGACACAATGCATGATCTCAGTAATCTTGTGTCTTTTGGCCAAATGTTTTTATCTTCTCACTGATGCTGCTGGTGGATATTTGCTGCCAAACATGTAGCTAGTTTAAAAAGGAAACGTTGGTGACAGAGAAAACAACAGTGGTGGCTCCATCATCATTTCCAGCCATTAAAAAAACACCTGCATTTCTCTGATGCATGTTAGATAACAAACACAGATGTCTGTTGACTATTATGTAATTACAAAAAAAAATGAATCCCTGCTAGCGTCAAATGACTGTTATCAGACATCTTGCAAAAATAACATTGTGATTCCACTGAGATGAATACAAACAATGTTCCACCACAGCATGCCTAATATGCAGTTCACCTTCGTTCATTAAGTGCAGAGTTAGTCTGCATGAGCCACACATCGAAATGATGAATTCTCACTGGCTAGTTCCTTGACTCCGTGCATTTGATTTTTATTTCCCTCTCGAGGTGAGCTAAGCTGTGCAAGAAGTTTTGTGTAGAGTTGAAGGATTGCATTGAAACTTTTAATACCAAGTACTGTATGCCATTGTTGTGGATAATGCTGGTCTGCATTGCTCTTTAAATGTCTGTGATATGTATTAACTATGTAAGTCAAAATTTGTTTGACTGTTGTATACAGGTGATATTTTATCAATAAAAATCGGAATATGATTTTTGGTGGAAAGTTATTTTAATGGTCCTTTAGGTGTTTCTATACACAGAATAGAAACAACAACAAAATGAAATAATTAAAGAGATCTCTGCCTGAGCCTGCTGCAAATAAATAAAGGCCCAAAAATGAGTAATCTATGCCTCTTCATGAAAATGTTCAAAGTGCAAAAGTGTCAGTCTCTCCATCGATGTCCACACTGGGCATTGCAGCATTTGTAGAAAGTTGTCATGGGTTCATCTGCTGATCTGGTCTGAATCTGCATGAAATACGCCCGAAGATGCCCACACTTCGGACACGTTTCTGAGAACAGAGACAAATATAGAGTGTCACTCTTGGATCACAAGTTGGATTCAACACATTTGGTTTTTGAACGAGACTTTATCCCATGAACAGAAGCCGCATTCAAACCTGTGCAGACGTAAGTGTTTAACATGCCATCCCCCTAAAAAAGAGCTATAAGAAGTAAACTGGTAAAGTTTAGTTTCTGCTGTCGTTCTATTAAAAGGCTCAACTGCCCAGTACAAATTTGACCCAGCTTGAGCTACGTCTGTTGTTTGTGAATTTGTAATGATCTGAAACTGATAAAATTAGGTTAAGGAAATACTTGTAATCTTGTAAATCAGTAATATTTTATTAGAATTTAATTTATGTTACAGGGAGTTCCACAGCCTCAATTCTTGATTAAGGAGTTTTCAGCCTCACCCTGTAGAACACATCTAGATATTTGTGAGGCTATCATACAACACGTTGAGATCTACACACTGACTTCTACTGATGTTGGAAACAGGGCTGTTCAAGAAGTTCATGGTAGATTTTAGGATTTACTGCTTTGGATCATTGTCCTGTGGAGGACAGCAGCCTCTTGAACTCTCTAGACTGCCGTAACTTTGGATCAGTTGGGTTAACGTAACAAAACATTAAACAAACTAACTTTCATATGTAGAAATCTTTACTTAACGAACAATCAGAGGCAATAATCAGAGGCAACACGAGGCCCAGAGCTGATTAAATGTCACTTACCAGGAGTTGAGTCGACATTTTCCCAGGCTGCAGCTCCACCGAGGACATCATCCACCTCCTTCAGCTTGGGAAACTTCCTGTAATTCACCTGCAGCCACACAACAGAACCTTCACTCCTCTGAATCCACCAGGATCAGAACCACCTCGACCCAGTCTATCCCGTGACTCACCTTTCTCGTGATGTTGTGCACGTAGGGACAAGTGTTACAGGCGAACCTCATGCATTTCTGTCCTTCCTCCACGATCAACACGTTCCCGCAGGTTGGACAAAACAGGAGCATGTCAGCGGAGACACATGTGAGCGGACCGCGACGAAATAAACTCGAGAAACGCGATGTGAAGACGTTGCTTCCCACGGGGAGCTAGCTTGTTTAGATTAGCCGCTGTAAACAGTCTGAGGCACGAGGAGCGGCACAGGAAGAGGAGAAATGCAGGTGCTCCGTTTTTTACAGCTCGACCGGAAACAAACGATTAACACATCGGAGCAAAGACGCAATTTAATGTCAGCACACGTTCTGGAGTTATGTATGTAAATACAATAAATATGAAGCACAATAAATATTCGTTCCAGTATTTGACAGTTTTTATGACTAAGCAGTGTGTGAATTTACTTCCGCTAAGTGGAACCACGTGCACCAAGTGGTGTTATCCCCCGGTGTATAAATGGTGCTGCACAGCCGTGGTTTGTTTACTCCGTGGATGGAATCGTAGAATCCAAGTGTGTCGATTGAATGTTTATCAGGAAGTGAAGTGAATCCGCTGCTCGTATACCCGGAAGTGCTGCTGCTGCTGTAGTTCCCGGTGTCTTTCCTTCTGTAGTTCCTGGCGATGGAGGAGCAGAGTCAGGCGGGAGCACAGTGTGAGGTGGAGGAGAAGGAGGTGGAGGAGGTGGAGGAGGCAGATGTGTCCGCTCCAGATGCAGAAGAGGAGGAAGACGAGGAGAGTCTTCCTCACCCAGAGATCCTGGATATTTTCGAGGAAGGACTCGCTCAACTGGTGCAGGATCCGTTACTGTGTGACCTGCCGATCCAGGTGATCTGTCCGTCAGATGCTGTGTGAAGAAACACATTTAATTAAATTTTCATTCGTTTTGCTGGTCTGTCCATAAAGTTTGTTAAATGAAGTTTCCATATTTCACAGCCAACAATCAAATCCAAGTGATTCATCTATGTTCAGAAGATTCAAACATGAAGCAGAACCCATTTGTTTTCTGTTATGCATCATATGAACAGAGATGAAGAATCTGGTCAGAAGTCCTCAGTGACATCATGTGCTGCACGTCCCGTTTGACCAATAATCAACTTACAGTGATTTAATGATCAACATGAAGCAAATACAGCATTATATGGGTTGGAGAAGTTGGCACAAAAGACCTTTGGGCCTTTTTAATGATAAATGACTCAACCCAATACTGAGTTTTAAACATGATGGCCAATTCATTCTCAGTGGATTGACTACTCAGCTTATTGAGTGATGATTTCAGCACTAGCACAAATAAACCTCTTGCATACATAGAAGTAAAATACCAAGCCCCACAGATGACTTACAAATATGTGCATTTTCTTTTTTACATTTATTTACAGACACATTACTGTGTGTGATGTTTAATGAAACTTGGAATCAGCACTGATCGATAGAAGTAGTCCTGGAAATATCCCTTAAATGTGATTTTTGTTTTTTTAAGGTGACTCTGGAGGAGATCAATTCTCAAATAGCTTTGGAGTATGGCCAGGCGATGACTGTGAGGGTTTTAAAGGCAGATGGTGAAGTAATGCGTGAGTGTTGAGATTCACATCTTGATTTCTTTGCAGTTTGGGCAAACATCATTAGATTAGATGCATATTTACGATCATTATTTAAACATAAGTATTCATTTCTGTATTTCTATTATTCATTCTCCTTAAGCCATAGTGGTGGTGCAAAATGCTACAGTCCTTGATCTGAAGAAGGCCATTCGCAGATTCATGGAGTTGAAACAACAACGTGAAGGTGGAGTGAAACATGTCAGCTGGTAAATACACACACACACACACACACACACACACACACAGAGAGACTTAAAAATGATTTTAACATTTTAAAAGTGGCCAAACGTCCTTTCTTTAACAGGAGATACGTTTGGAGAACATTCCATTTAGTGTTTCAGGGGGAGAAGCTTGACGATGACAAGATGAGGCTGAAAGAGTGAGAGCAAACTCATCACTTGATTTAACTTCATTTACATTGTCATCGACAGTGTTTTACCTATTTTTTCCTCTTCTTTTTTTCACATCTTCAGTTACGGGATCAGGAACAGAGATGAAGTGACGTTCATGAAGAGGCTGAGGAAAAAATGAAATGTCAACACCAACATTTTTCACATCAGAGGGCAAAAAGTTCCTGCAGCGAGTACTGGTGCCTCCACAATGTTGACAAAGTATTTATTTTTGTTATGGCTTGTTTCTAAAAGTGTTTGAGGTCATGTAATATCTCTGTAAACTCCACATATCCAGAAACAGACTTTACAAACTGAGTTGTTAAAGAAGCTTCATGTAAATAAAATGTTTGTAGTTCTGATCATTAAGCCTCAATTTTACTATGAATTCTGTATAATTGTGTTCGAATAATAAAACGCACTATGTTTTTCTATGATTCTTTGTGTGTTTGTATTTTACCTTCGTCTGCACAGGAAAAGGAGCGTTCTGTAACATAAGGCAGTCAGATATAAGCTCATTTGAATATTTCCTGATACATGTGAACAGTACATGTACTGTGTCCTTGTTTTCCTAGTTTGAACGTTACCTGTGCAGGATTCACTGGAAGCGGCTGAGGAATTGAGGTACTCCCATATTGTCTTTGATGTAATAATATTCTCTATAACACAGTTTAAATGAAACTTTATGAAACTAGTGGTTGAGATGTTTGAAGTGATGGTTCAGCTTCTGACAGTGTAGTGTTGAATACAGTTAAAGTTACCAATATAAGACTTGAAATTTTTGTCACGTAACTTTGAAAATTGAATGCAGAATTTTCTCATCATGAATGTTAAATGATTGTTTTAGTCGCATACTTTTGCTGACTCAACATTAAAAAAAATAATCGAGCCAGAAATTGAATTGTTTTATTTATTTATTGCTTGTAACGACACCTAACCGAGTTTTAAAAAAATATAAATGTAATCTAAGACTTGGTTCAGTGAAGACTGACCGTCGTTTTGCTTCAGCATTTCAAAATTTTATGACCTGTCAATACTTTAACCAACATTCATTTTTGTTTACTGTTGCTCAGGAAATGCATACATTTGCATAAAACAGAGAAGGTATCAGTACATGTTTTTTTATGTTTCATTTAATAAATCTGAAATGTTTCCAGGGGTGGGGCCAGGGCCTCAGCTGGAGTCTGATTGATCCTTGAAGTTCCCGTGTTCTGTCATTAGTCTTTAAAAAGAAAGAATAATCTCGTCACTTGCTGACACTGCTAACAATAAAAATTACAATTTAAGTTTTTATTTTCTAAACTGTTTTAGAAAATAACTGTTCTAAATGTGCTTCTGGCTGAATCAGGATTTGTGCCTAATTGATCCTTCTGTGTAAATTATGGTCCTTGATTTAGAAAAACCATAGATCTGCCACTGGCTGGTTCATATTTCAGAGAGAGAGAGAAACATGTAAATAATGCCCATAAAATATTTTTCTTAACAATTGAAAGATTCAAAGAACGTGAGAGGAATGTAAATTAAAAGTTACCTGATTTGTTGCCAAATAAAAAAAAACTTGGTTGAATCCACTTCATAAATATAATGTTAAAAAGTCTCAATATTCAGGATTCATAATTTACTAAAGAACAAGTTCTTTTAAAGTTGGTCTTTATTAACCAGAAGTCACCACATAAAGTGTGGTCACGTGAAAATATCTTTGGTACTTTCTCTCGACGATGTTCAATCCAGATTTCTGTGAAATGAAATCGCTTTTCATTTTTCTTCCATTCTGTAAACATGCAGTGCAGAAAGTTCGGCTTTCAACCACAGGACAGAACAATTTAACCCCGATCAAGCAGAAACCTGCAATAAACATAAATGACAGTAAAGAGTAAAAACAATCCAACATTTGCTCTCTTCAGTCTTTTCAGCTGTCAACATGACTTCTTCAGAGAGGGAGCAGGGGAGGATGTTGACAGAACAGAACAATCTATCACTCAAACGTCGACAACTTCTGGAGAGGAAACAAATCTTGTGTGTATTTCAGAAATTCCGGAATCGTGTCGAGTTTGGACAAACAGGTGAAAGACAGAATATTTAGGATTTGATTCTTCTTTTGAATATCGTAGCCTTCACCAAAATAGTTACTCCCTGGTGCCTCTGCTGTCTTCTGTGTACGAGTGTGGTGTTTCTATTTCCACCAGAGGAAGCAGCATCAGCTCAACAGGAGATTGACAGCATTGATGACAAACTGAGAGAATTGAGTGAGAAGGAGGCTGAGCTCCAAAACAGCCACGACACCATCCTCAGTGCCGACTATAAGGAGAACCATGTGGAGAGTGAGTCCTAAGTTACTGCAGCAAATCATTACTGCATCACACTTTGGTTTTTCTTATTTTCTTCTTCTGTTAGAGGTCACACTCAACACAACCAGTCAGATGATCCCGCCCATTGAACCTACTTCTGCCATTAATGTTTTCTATGTCGAGGCTCCACCTTCGTCCCCCGGTGAGTAACTTTCAACAGAGAATACAGGATTACAGAAAGTGGAATTATTTTTTTTATGAAATTGCACTCGCTGCTCGTCAGAACAGACACTCTGGGGCTGCATCTGGCCTAAAAATGACTATGTATACATGGACAGCGATATTCTATTATTTAAATGATGATGCTTACATGAGTCGCTAAGAGACGATTCCATTCATATTCCCGTTCACATGCTGAGATAAAGCATAGTCTGATTATGTCAATGTCGTACATGTCAACTGCACAAAATGCTGCAAAAAACTTATAATGAGACTAAGAACATACATACAGTATTTGGATTATTTATTATTCTGACCTTCAGGTTCAGGTCATTTGAAAATGCTGTTTACATGACTGTCTAATTCATACTATTGTCTTGATCGGGTTAACATCGGAACATCAGTGTCCATGTAAACATATTTATTATTGTGCTTCATCTGACAAAATATTTTGCACACCATTCGTTTGTTGGAGTGAAGATCATTTGCTATGTGGTATTCACATGACTTGTTAACTTGCACAGAGGAACAAAAACAAGTGTGTTCATCGATCATTAAGTTTTCTATTCGTTTTTGACTCCATAGCCTAAACGTTTGTTTTGATGCCTGTAAGCTTTAGACAGATCACAAATGAAAGTTGTTTTATGAACTAACTATTACATTTTTCTTCTTTGTACAGCCCCTAAAGTGATTCTTGACACAGGACACCTTCCATCGTATCCGAGCAGGACACAGTGCCCTGACTGTCGTCAGTATGTCGTAACAGAGACGACCACCTCCGTCAGCAGCGTGACCTGGATGGTGTGTTTCATGACAGCTATGTTAGGGTATGAAACGATCCTCCTCGTTCCTGGTGAATTATTTTTACACTAGTGTGTAACCAGACCCACACTCCTGTTCTGTTTTTTTTTTACAGGTGCGTGGCAGGTTGTTGTCTGCTTCCCTTCTGTCTGGATAAATTCAAATCGACCTCACACAAGTGTCCCAAATGTCGCACTTTAATCGCAACTAATAAAAAACTCTGAGAGAGAAGCATGCGGAAGAGGGCTTAAGCTCAGACTGAGACCTCGGACGTGACCTAATGATGACGCTCTTATTCTTAGTGATGTTGTAAATGTAAATGTAGATGTTCTTTATTTATACAGCCCTTTACAACAGTGCTTTCGGTGAACCAAAGTGTTTTACAATTACATAGTGTTGACTTCCATCGACTGATTGTATGTAGATGTGGATAATATGAGATTAAAAAACATTATCTGTATGATTTCAAATTCAAGGTTCTATGAAATGATTGAAAGTGTGTCAAAGTTCAGTTCTCTATGAGTCAACAATACTACGAAACTAAAACCTTTCTTGTAAAGTTTTTTTTAATGGTGAGCACCTAAGAGGAAAGGTCTTACTAGGCGATTGTGAAATCCCAAATGATCTCTGTATTTACAAAACCAAACCAGCTCATACGTTTGTATTAAAGATAACAGAAATACACAATGTGGAAAACATGTGCCATACAAACAACACATTATAATGTCTCTTGCTGTAGAGTTATACAAGTTAAAAAAAGTAAAAATCTCAGTCCAGCCCATAATCCATAAAGGCACTGTCCCACTGTCCTGCACCACTTTCTTTGACACTTAATTTTATTTCCTTCAAACAGATGTTGTTTTCTTTTTGCTGAAAAAGAAAACCAGATGTGGCCGGCAGATGTCACTATAACCCAAATCAACATGAGGGTTAGTTCAGTATAAAGGGAGCGTAAACACTGGATCAATCCTGTAGGAGACCGTCTGCCAACAGATTAATTCAACTGTTCAAATGTCCGTAACATTTAGTTTTTCATATTATCATGACATCAAGGAGTCAGTCCTCATCTCTCATGATATTAAAACATGATTTGACTGAGCTGCAGATAATAAAAACTTGTTTGCTTTAAATTGGGCGTTTGTGTTTTTTATACTCTTTTTTGATAGTAGTAGTAGTAGTTGCTGTTGTTACCACAGTCAGTGCAGCTCAGTATGTACAGCACTGTGTACATTCATGAAGATCAGGCAACAAAGAGGATCCACTGTCTCAAACCAGTGAGTTTAAAGGAAGCAATGCTGCCCAAACCTCCAACAGTTCTTATTCTCTCACAGACAAAATCATAATGCCTTCTTTAAATTATTAAAAATCATGTTTATTTGAAATGGCCTGACATGTTTATTAAACAAGTGTTTGTTGTGGATTTCTTCCGTTTATGACGTTTGAAAACATCTAATGGATTCGCTGCAGCCCAACTCAGACATGCATGACTTTATCTCTATCACACAACCATTTATTCTGTGGATAACAGAGAGTACAAGGCACAAATCTGACATTTGCAGTTTCTGGACCCAGAATGACGAGCAGAATATTTATTTCCCGGCCTGTACCCATAATGCACTCCTCCTGGTGGGATAAGGGATGAAGGACAGACACGGATGCGACGCACAGATAGATGAGATATTGGTGCATGGCTCGTGTGTCATTCCGCCGGAACAAGGTCTTTTTTTCCCCATCTGCTTGACTTAGAAAGGCCTCTTCTACATCTCTGCAAAGCTTATCCGGCAGTTCAGTTATGAAAGACGTCCGACTCTATTCCTTCTACCCCAAAATGTCAACTCCAGATTCAAACTCTTTCTGGACACTCACTTAAATGTCGTCCCTTTTTGTGAACCTCCTTTGCACAATTACATGAGTAAATGTACTGTTTGATTACAAGTAATATGCTGTAAATGGATTACATATGAGTAACATGGTGATTAATAAGCTTGTAATGATAACACATCAGTTGTGCATTGGCATTACCTCATTTCCATCAACACAGTTCATGAGACTCCAGGAAGTCAGAGGAGAAGACGCCCACCGATGTCGACATGTCCAAAGGGTTGACGCCCTCTGCTGGCACTGACAGCGTCAGGTCCAGCCAGTCCATATTGTCCATGCTGTCCACGTTAGCATTGTGCAAGGTAAAAGCAGAGGGCGGTGCGTTTACGTTAAAGTCCACCTCCATGGTGACTATGGGTGAGTTCAACTCCTCCATTAGCTTCAGTGTTTGTGGCTCAGTGTCGGCGGACAGTGTGCAGTCCAGGAGGGTGTCCAGCTGGGTGTCAGAGATCAGCACTGACAAGCCGGTCGAAGGTTTGAGGGGCGGAGCAGGCGGCTGTGCCACTTGGACCATGGCGGGAGGGCGGGATAAAACCATGTTGACAGGTAGGGTGGTTACGCTGGCTGTCACAGGGAGAGGCTTGTCCAGGCTGGGGGGGTCCTGTTTGATGAAGGGGGAGATTTCTGCAAGAAAAAGTGCAGAACACAAAGTGTGAAAATCCAAAAATCTCTATGAATTTACCAAAAAGTGAAAAAAGAAATCTGTATTTCTCACCACCACTCTCAATTAACACGTCAAATAGATCATCCATCTGCTGGCTGGCTGCAGTGGGACCCTGCAGACACATAAAGAGTAAATGACAACTGACAACATAAAGACTAACTAAACGCAACAATTTATTTCACTGTTATTTTCCCACCTGAACAGCTATTAGCATGCTGCGTGTCTGTTTAACTGCATCCTCATAGCGCGGAGGGTCCTTACACTTTGACACATGGTTTTTGAATGTCGGCTGATGCAACATCAATGGTGGTTGACTGTGACTGGGAGACTGTAACAGGAAGAGAAAAGAGTCAAATGAAAAACAGGATACAGCCGACAGACACCACCATTCAAATGCATTCCACATTTTACAAATAAACCAGACTCAGCACTTAAGTTACAGGAAAATAAAAAAAGAAAGTAGAAGAGACTTAAGGATCATCTTCTACCTTATTGACTGGTCCATTAGCGATTGGCTGGTTAACGGCGGCTCCTGTAGGACAACCACTCACTGGGAATGTGCTGAGTGAACTTTGTGCTGCGGTGTCCATCCTCCATGTCTGCAGTGAAAGTCAGCAGGGAGCCAAGCAATAATAAATGCATTAATGCAATCGATGTTAGGGGAATGCTTTCTGCAACATGTACGGAAAACTACACACACGCACACACACACTCTGTGGGAGTTATTTCTGTTGTAAACAAGCTACAGAGGGAATTGGGGAAAAGAAGATTGCTCTTGATCACCTGCTTTTAGTTACATTGAATTTTGTCTGGCCTCTTCAGCTGAGGCTTGACCACATTTTAACCCAGCTTGTGCTACGCATCTTAACTCATGAGTTTGTGTTGAGCTGCGGTTTCTGTATCTAATTCTGGCTGCGTGTTGGACTCAGAGCAGAGCGACGACAGAGGGCAGCGAGGCCGCTACGGTCGGCCGTCACTCAGAACCTGCTCCAGTCGCCCATGTTTCCACGGAACGTCTTTTGATGTGAGTAGAAGATTTCACCACCCGGCCGAGGCCTGTTATTATCATGGCAACAGGGAAGACGTATTACCCACTGGTAGCGTGTAATTGATTGTTAGAGAGAAAAACATAGGATATGTGATACATCAGGCAGCGCCATCAAAAACACTGCACCACATCTACGATGCGCAACTCCACTACACAGAAAACGTATGATTTCAGGTGTCGCACGTTTCATGTGTGAGTCTCCACATACACTTCAAGTTTGTATATTCTAAAGGAATGCAAAACGAAGTCACAGCTGATACTGATGACTAATAAGGAGGCAGAGCGAGGCACTGTGCTGGAGCATTGTGTATTTTCTTACCTTTGTCAGTGGCGGACTGTGAGTGCTGCATTGCTGTCGTAGAGCTGCTGAGGCCTCTATTTTCTGTGGCACCTGTCCAGAGGTCTGGATGAGGCCTGGGGCTGTGCTGCTAACAGTAGTGTGTAATTTGATGCAGTTGGCTGGGAGCTGGATAGTGAGTGCTGAGGCAGGAGGGGATGCAGGCAGCAGAATCTGCGCTCCGGCCTGGACACACTGCTTGATGGTCTGATGGCTGATGAGGAATTGATTTGGAGAAGCTGAGTGGCTCTGATCCAGTGCCTCCTCCTGTTTGACCAACACTGGCAGACAAGGGGAGCTACAGGGAGCGGAGCAGTTTAAGGGGGACCTGTTCTCCTCTTTGACCTGGATGTGAGCGAGAGGGCTGAGCTGAGGTGGAGAATCTACCTGCTGACTCCTCTTCTCCACCTCCAGCTGCATCTTCAGTTCCTCCACCAGCCTCTGCTCCTGCTCCAGCTTCCTCATCAGCTCCTCAATCTGACGCTCCTTCTCATGAAGACGTTTGTCCTTTTCAGAGTCCTTCCCAGAGGACCCTGTCACTGTGGGTAGCTCCTCCTTTGGAGCTCTCTGTGGGGAGCTCTTGCAGGGAGCAGTGGAGACTGGAGACAGAGAATCTGAAGGATTTGCTGGACTCTCTGCCACACTACTGTCCTCTATACCCAGACTGGACACCTTGGAGGCTACAGGGGACACAGGTGGGGATAACTTTGGGTTTTCTGACGTTGTGGCAGCAGTTGTTTCCACAGCAGCAGCAGTCTGGATGTTAGAGGTCTCACGATATAACTTCAGCCTCTCTATCAGATCTGTCTTAGTCCCAGAAACAGGGAGCGATCTGCGTTTTAGTTCCATTTTCAGCCCAGCAACCTGTAAACACAACACATTATCATAGAATATCTCTCAAATCTTTGATTGGGCTCCTCTGCAGCATGCATGAGGTGCATAAAGTCAGGCTGTGTCACCTTCATCTCCTCCAGATTAGCCGGTAAGTGATCCAGTTTGCGGTTCATCTGAGTGTGGCGGGGCTGTATGGGGGCAGATGCAGCGTTTCCACTCAGAACAGTGGAACAGCTGGTCTGTACCTCAGTTGCTGATCTGTTGTAATAAGACGGAAGAGAAAGGGAGTACAGAGTTTGAACTATTATCTACTTTTCACAATTAACAGCTTCTGTGTAGGAAACCTTGGGCAGGAAATGTCAAGTATTTGAGAGGAACGGCAGCTGCGGTCGGACAGTCGAGGCAGTGAGCTTCATGACTTCTAAAAGCAGGTGTGAGTGCAAAATTTAAATAAAAACTTAACTTTGGAAGGAAGCTACATTTGTACGTCAGGGTTGTTTCAGAAGCTTAAACAATGAAGCCTATACACACAAAGACTGTGGGTGGGCAAAATCCTGTCTATGGCTGTGTCCGTGTTGCAGAATGAAGCCATACTTTACTGTGGCAGGCAGGACGGCCGGGTAGTTGTACTGCTGCTGTTGCTGGTTTAAGATCTGGAGCTGCAGGAACTGCTGCTGCTGCTGCAGGAGGCGGGCGTAGGCAGAATCCATTGGTACGTCATTGAGCTCCTGCTTCTGGTCCGGGGGTATGTACTGATGGTACTTCAGCTTTTTCACCCACGGTTTGGGCTCTTTGCTCTTTTTGCTACGGCTTTTATCGCCAGGCTGCTTGGACAGGCTCTGCTGCAGAGCACAAGACAACAAAGGAAAGGGGACATGTAAAAACCTGAGAGGACCATCTGGACGATTCCTGATCTCTATGTCTGATCAAGTTTATCCAGGAATAGAGTCAGCATAACCAGTACCAACACTTCAAGACTTAGAACTGATGGTGGATTTTTATAGCTTGAACACTGAGCTGGGGCATTGTTCTGACACCCGATAAGAAACGCAGGATGAGGAAACGGGTAGTGGAAATGTGAGCCTTATTGTTTTACCACCTGCAATTACAGGATGCACATGAAAATGGCTTGGCATAAGAGCAGCAGGTTATAACTATGAAACCTCAAGTTGGGCTAAGCCAGCACACACCCCCTGCGTTTTTTCAAATTCAGTCCACTATCGTATTCCAAGGGAGAGAGAAGTCACTTTGTGCTCAGAGAGTAACTGGATTATAATAAACGCACAAGTTTATACTTCACCCTTGATTTTTGGCTTATAGTTGACACAGCTTAAATAAGGGAGGGTCAGCCCATCATTAGACCCTGACTGAAGACAAACTGTGGCTGGCACATATTTATATCAAGGACTTCACCTCATTGTTCCTTAAACTGCACTTTGCTTGGCTGAATTTCAGTTCCACCCTAAACTGATGTGACTTTCAGAGTGATAAAACACAGACGCTGTGTCTTCTGACGTATAGGTCATCACATTTCCAAAGGAAACAAAAAAAACGAACGGTCAATAAATCAGAGAGACAGAGAGCCAAGGTCCAGAGGTCAGTTTCCTGTCAGCTGGTTAGAAACTAAATGAACTCTTCCTTTAAAAAGAACAATCACTGCTACACTTAGGTAAAATAAGACTTTGAAAGGTCTTTGGACAAACCACAAACTAGAAAAAAAACCTCACCTTGACAAGAACTGGCCCTGGCGTGATACTGGACACAACAGTGGTGATTGGCTGAGGTGCAGATGCTTGTGAGTTGCTTTGCTGCTCATTGGTTGAGACGGGTTTGAGTAAATCTGACGGGGACTGTGAGTTAGATGGTGGGGAATGCTGAAAAAACAAGAGACAGAGAAAAACAAACACACAAACCGTTCAGTCAGAGCGGTCATTAATCATCATCCCACGCTCGACAAGAAAACCAAATGGAATAAAAACAGGCTGATAAACTCATAAAATGAAAAACAAGCATGATATGTGTCAACTAATTTTATAAATTGCTTTACACACAGTTGTCCTGTGAGAGCATGCATTAAACAAAATGTTAACGTAGGTCTAAAAAGTTTTATTTTGTGAAAATTTGTACCAATGGAAACTGAGAATTCTATAGGCTTATAACATAAAAAAGGTGCTTATATATTTTTAGACTTATAGAATAGAAAACTTGTTATAAAAGTGTGGTTCATCTGTTAACATGGACAGTTTCTGTTTTAAGATGTGTAATGGTTGAAGGTTCACCTGTGCGGCAGAGTTTAACTGAGAGGAGGGTGAAATGGCCCCAGTCCCTGCAGACTCCCTGACAGAGGTCGGAGTGGAGCCGGGAGTTTCCTGGCTGGAAGGCTGCTCTGGTGATAAGGCCTCACTGCTGTCCTCATCAAAGCTGTAAACATCTGCTGCTTTAGAGTAGTTTGACTTTTCACCTATGAGGCCGACATCAAACATAAATAAGTGCAGCTTGTTATTTATTTAAAGGATGAGTAAAAACTGAAAAAACGAAAAGCATTTGTTACACTACCATTTTGCTGTGTCTCTACATACTAGATTCATTAAGTTGAAGGTAAGTCAGTGACTATAACAAACTCCAAGACATTGCTGCAGGCTTACATATTTAATATAGACATATCAGTATCAGATAATGAAAACTTTTTTGTATGAGTTGTTAATGTTTATTTTCTCAATAAAAGTTCTTTATATTTAGATGTATTTGTGTTTTCTTTTTATTAATAGTTATTTATAATGAAGTTTATGGTTAAGCCTCATTGACATTTCTTTGTCAATAGTGACATCTTAGAAATCATTGCCAGTCTTTTTTCATTTATATTGGCTGATATTTCATCTTGGAAATTTTCCACTCCCTAATATTGTTTTCAGCCTCCAAAAATCCATATCAGTTGGACTCTACTTTTGACTTCTAAAATACTAGTGAAAAAACAACTATGGCTAAACTCAAATCTTTTAATGACTCATGTCGTCTAAGATGGAGGATATAACAAGCATCTACCATCGTTGACCTCTTCAGAAGCAGAGTCCACAGGCAGGATGTTCTTCTCCACCAGCTCCATGGGTCCAGGTCGCTGGGCGATCTTCTCATTGAGATCATCAGTCAGTCTGGCCCTCTTCAGCTTCAGCTGTGTAGCCTGCAGGGAGGCCTCCGCCTGCGACTCTGATAAAGATACAAAGGATCATTGGTTGTGATCTGGCCAACATCAGTCAGCCTCTTAACCGCTTCATTAGAGTAACGCAGCAGCTTCAGCAAGACCTTTATCTGGTTAGAACTTTGTAAAACAAAACAGGCAGTAAGTTGAGACAGATAAATAACCACATTTCGTCCCTCTTATCTAGCAGCTACTTACGGGTGAGAACACACAGGAGGATGGTTACCTTGCAGGATGTGCATGCGGACCAGCTCAGATCGCTCAGGTCTGCTGCAGAGTTTGTGCTTTAGGAAGTTCCCTGTCTGTTAAGAAAATGAAAATATTATGGAGAAATACTATATATGGAGGATAACACAGTCATGTTCAGCTGCAGTGTTGATGACACTAGCTGGTTTCTTACCTTGGCTCTTTCCAGGCTGCGAATCTGCTCATGAAAGGCAGCAGGTGTTTTCAGAGCTGTGACAAGGTGACAAAACAACATTCGTAACTTCTCGTGCTCGACACACGTAAACTTCCTTCCATTTTAAAATAAATAAACAACTAAATAATAAAACAAAAAGGCAAATAAATCAGATTAGTATAATAACAGTATGCACTGACTTAAATATATGAAAAAAAAAAACTTAGAACATTTCAAAAGTGTATTATTGTCTAAGATGCTGTTGCCTTAAAAACCTACAAACTACAACCCAGCCGTTACCAGTTTAACCTTCCAAAGATCTCTGGCTGGTTTTTGGACCTATATACAATCCTATATAATCTTAATCAATATAATTTTTATCTATCACTATATCTTTATGGCATCATCCCCACTGGATTTAAAACTCTGTGGCTTAACTGTCAATCTTCTTTAAGGGCCTGTCACTCCCATCAAACTGAGCTATGGATTCAGATTCCTCCCCTGCACCTCTCTCACTTAATCTCAGTGCAGCTTGTAATATTATAGATCACTTTCCCCCAGTGGAAACCAATTTGGTTTCTCTGGCCGGGCTCTCGCATGGTTTAAGTCTTACTTATCTGAAAGACACAGCGTTTCCTGAAATAATACTACATCAATATTTACCGACGTGAAATATGGAGTACCCCATGGCTCTCTTCATGGCCCTCTATATTTCGACTCCTGGCCAAAACATACCCAGTCATGGATTTAATTTCCATGGCTGTACTGATGATACTCTGCTATGTTGCCCTGTAAAAGATGAACCATTCTCAAATGATCTAATAAGAGGCCTGCTTGTGTCTGCGAAAAGATGAAACTCAGAAGCTGGTTGCTGGTCAGAGTTCTGACATGAACAGTTTGAGCAAGTGACAGTAACCCTCCCCAACTGCACGATTTCTCAAAGTATGACAGATGATCCTTGCTGTTATGGTTGATCCTACCCTCTCCTTTAAAGACTACATTAAAAACGTCACCTACCGATATTACTAAATCTTGAAATTGTTCAGACCGAGATTACTGTAAACATGCTGATAACTACTGCATCTTTTCCCTCGAACACATGACCGCCCAGGTTGTGTGCCTATATCTCTTCAACCACTCCTCCCTGTTCTCTCTATTTTCACTCAAGCTGGAACATATGCCACCCTGAGACCCCTCTTTCCCTCTCCTGGCTGTCGGTGCCTCGTTCCAGATGTTTTGGATCTGGATCTTCATCCTCCAGGAGTCTCTCTCGCCGAGTGTTTGTTTGTTTCTACTCGACGTGTGAATGACGTGCTTGTTTCTTTTCCTTGTGTATGTTTGTGTAGTCTGTCCTCTTTTACAGATCTTCCTGGTGGTCGCGTGGCTCAGGTCTTATCTGTTGGTTGCATGTGGCAGTTGCTTGATGTCCTCCCAGATCATTTTCTTCATTAATGTCGCAAGCTATAATGTCATCGTCCTGACTGTCCATATTTTAAATCTTCTTTTCTCTATTCTGTAAACACCACATCTATTGCTTATCTGTTGGTCCTGGGGGAGCGATCCCTCCTCTTCTGCTCTCTTAGAGATTTCTTTCTTTTTTTCCTGTTTATGTGTTTTTTGGGGAGTTTTTCTTTGTCTGATTCAAGGGTCTAAGGACAGCATGTGTCGTAATATTGTAGATTTTTAAGACCCTTGATGCAAAACTGTGATTTGTGATATTGGGCAATAGGAAAAGATTTGACTTCACTTTCCATCCTAACTCGGCAACAGTGTAATCTCTTTTTTCTATCATTATTTTCATGTGTTTTGTCTTTGTTCTGCATCAGTGTGACATTAATAATAAACAGAAGCTCATGGGAGTCCAACAGGAAGTGTCAGCTTTACTGATTCAAGCAGAGAGGAGATTGCTCCATGCAGAGAGTCACTCTTTGATCCCTCTTTGAAACTCATGCTGCTTTAGACGAGGTCTGGCTCACTGACTCGTCACCTCCTCTATGATGAGCACTGTTTGCTTTAAGGACATTTTCGCCGGGGGGGGGGGACGACTCCGAGGAGTGTGTCAGAGGAGCAAAGAAAAACATTCCTGCTCGTCACCTAAATCTCAGCACATACCTACCATGAGCCTGTTAGTGTGGGAGTAGCAGAGTAGCTTCAGTGGAGAATGGCCTGAGATGGCTTGTGTGCAGGTTCATGCTTGGCCAGGCCACAGACTGACCTCCAGTGAAGAAGACTCAGTCGGTGAATCATTTCTCCTTCAGACAGGAGCTGACAACCTGACCGCAGGAGACTTTTCAAGAGTGAACAGGACACATCTATTTCTCTTTCTGCCTTCCCAGCTATCAGCACTATTCTGTCGCAGAGTCAGCTTCTCTTTTATCAGTTTTTCTCTCAAACACAATGCCCATCCAGGGAAAGTAGGGACTGAGTCTGCTCCACTTTGTCACATCAAAAGATGAATGGTATTAAAGTGGGAGCTAGTCCTTTCTGGTTTGGCACTGCTGTGCTGCTTGTTGGCTTATCTGTGATAAATCTTTGAGTCATTTTCATCATCGGCTATGTTTACATGAGGACAATGATCCAACTATTAGTAGGAGCAGAATAAGCCTCACACTTAATGGAATGAATAAATACATTTCTGTGACGAAATTATTTGTCTAAACAAAGCAGTTTGATGTTAATGGCTTAAGGTAGAAAGAGTGAATTTTAGAAAACCTAGTATTTCTACTCCACTACATTTTAACAAAGTATTGCATTACATGTTCATACTAAAATAATGTAGTTAACCATTGCCTCACTTAGCAAGAACTTTTACTTTGAATATTTAAAAGCAAGTACCTACTAACGTCTAGTAAAGTACTTCCTCCATCTACAGTTACACACCTATGGATCCCTCCCCTAGTGTTGCCATATTGTCCTTATGGACCTCATTGAGGACATGACCAGTTACAAAGGTAACTTCAAACTTTCCACATAATCACTCAAAGCATCAAACTGCAAGCTGCATAACTCATCTCCTTCTACCTTAGGCATGAACCTATGTCATTCAAATGAGAGCAACAAAATATTGTTAGTAAGAAAAGTAGATGAGCATTACGGGAAAGAAGGACACCCTGGACTCTGTTTGTTTTTCTGCTCGTCCAGAAACCTCTTATTCAGACTGTAAGGTAAGAGTCTTGTTTATGTGTGATGTGAATACTCACGTGGCATGATGCCTTGCTCCACAAGCTGCTCCCGAGTTCTCCTCTGCTGCAGACAGAGCTGGAGGACTGTGAGGACGCAGAGACACAGAGGTCAGAGTTCAACTTATACCATTCAGAGCCAACGCCACTGCACACAACCACCTCTGGCTTTAAACTGTGAAACCTGCCAGACTTCAGATAACACAAAGCGCTTATTATTTTCTCTACCCCCAAAAGGCTGAACAGAGAGGCCTGTTCACCACCACAGACATCCTATTCCCTTCCTGTATGGTTTTAACTGGGGCTGTTAAAAGTACCGCACATTTTACAACACTGCAGACCCAAATGTGATTGGCCGAGAGCTTTCCCAGAGCGAGTCAATATCTCTGTGTGCGATGCAAATGCATTTTAGAATCAAACAAAGTACAGCACAGAACATAAACAGATAAAAGAAGGATTAAAGTTGGAGCTGTAGTCACGATAAGGAGCAAAATTGCAGACGGTCATGACGCCACAAGAAACAAGTGAGTTGTTTCTATTTAATAACTTGTTTTTAAAATGTAATCTTGCTTTAGATGGATAAGCACTGATCCATGATGTTATTGTGGAACATCAAAGATGTGTCCATCTTCCAGCAGAAATAGTTGAGTCTTGGACTTAGGCCTGACATACAGTACACGTCCTCAGCTCTGTTTCCCCATCAATATAAACTGTAGTAAGATCCCAGTTTAAACATTTATATACAAGCGAGCGTGGACATGTTATTTCTGCAGAGTGACACGGCTCCGTGCATAAGAAACAGTTTGAAGAGAAAGGTGATGGTGACGAATGAGGCAGCGGCGGCGTGAAGTGCATGAGGCCCTTATCTTCACCACTGTATAGTAGTAACGTGAAGTCAGCTCAGCTACATCTACTCAGTGGCAAAAAGACACACTCACACTCTCTCTCACACTCTCTCTCACACTCTCTCTCTGTCACACACACACACACACACACACACA